AAATTTTGTTAGGTTCTCTTTGTATTTTGATGATGATTTAAAACTATGATTCAAAAGAGTTTAATCTATTTTTGTGCTAAGTGTGCAAAAAAATTAATCCAAGGTTTCTAATCTTTCCCCACGATTAGAATTAACTCATGTTCTCCTTGTTCAGAGTTTTGGGTTCGAACCAATTTATTTTGGTTCAAATCAATCCCGAACTTTTGTTTTCCGAAAATAGTTCGAACCATTATTTTTGGCTTCGAAGCAAAAAATTCTGGAAGGGTAAAATTTTGATAGCTCAACTATCCGTTTATTTTTATTTTTAATGGCCTTGGGGGAACCAATTGTCTGAGTATTTTCTAAAGTCAAGTAAAAAATAATAAAGTAAGGTGGAATCTAATTGGAGCATATGTGAGGTGGCTTTGAAGAGCTAAATGGACTTTAATTGCAAGGCTCCAAAATCCCCTATTATAATCATCAAAAATTCAGATCTGGAACACATAGAGAAGTGGGACGAACTGCTACAGAAACAAGAGTTTGAAACAGTTTTGGGTTTCCTTTTTCTTCTTCTTGTAAGCTTTTGGGTATATTGTCTTACAAGGGTTTTGTATTCTTCTTGGATTGGGTTAATCCTTGAAGGGGTTGAGTGAGTTGAGATTCACTTGTGAGGGTTTAATCTTGCACCCGCAAGCAAGAGTTTGTTCCGGTTTAATCTTGCACCCGTAAGCAAGAGATTTCTAGTGGATTGAACTCTCGAGTAAGGAGGCTTGGGGAGTGGACGTACTCCGGGTTGGAAGAACCACTATAAATCGCGGCTTGATTTTCTCTTCCCTCTCTTTTATTTTTTTGCACTATATTACTCTTGTTTATTTTGCACAATAGCTTATAAATTGCAGCTTTGATTTAAGTCTTGAAAGAAAAAGAAACAAGTTTTTAAGTTTAAATTGACAAATCCAATTCACCCCCCCTCTTGGGTAGCTAGCTAGGATTACAAATTTTATATATTATATTTACACGATTTTTAAATGAAAATAATAATTATCTTTAATAAATATTATTAGAATTGAATAAATCTCATTAATTGAAAAGTTGTAATAAATATCAACTATTAAAAATAAAAAAATA